TCACAGTTGGATAAATATCACATATTATGTTAGTTAATCCAATTTCATGTTAGTGATCCTCCAAATATATGCGACGTCTATAAGGATGCAATTTTTGAATATGTTCAAAGTGGTAAAAGGTATCATATAGTCGGCTCCGTCCGACTTTATTACTTTCCATATTGGTTTTTTCTTGCTTTTGGCTGAGAAATTTCTTCTCACTCCTTTTTGTACCGATAATATTCCATCGCATTACGTATTGTTGCAGGGTTGTTTTATACGCTGCGTTTTTATACCCTCCACCATAGTATGGAGGGTATATTAATTTTGTCATTCCGTTTGTAACAAATCGAAATATTCATTTCCACCCTATATATATATATATATTCTTGATCAGGGTAAACTTCTAAGACGATCTAGCCATGTCCTTCCGTCCGTCTGCTGAAATTTTGCATAGGTTTGTCTTTTGTCTGCAGGCAGGTCAAGTTCGAAGATGGTATATATCCACGTTTAGGCATAGCTCCCATATAACAGTACCGCCCAATTTTCGGTATTTTGGAGTTCTTGAACACGTTTTTCAACATTGGGTTCTTATTGGGTACTAAATGTCTCCACAAAAAAATTATTAATATAGGTCCACTTTTTCTGGTAGCCCTCATATAACGTTACCTCCTAATTTTCAGTATTTTGGGAGTTTTGACCGCATTTTTCCACCGAATTGGCTGTAATTTAGTATTTTGAGTTCTTAATATGTACCAAATCTCTCCACAAAAAATAATGAATATAGGTACATTTTTTCGGATAGCCCCCGTATAAGGGTACCTCCAATTTTCGGTATTTTGGGATTCTTGAGCGCGTTTTTCTACCGAATTCGCTGTATAAATTACAGCGAATTCGGTAGAAAAACGAATTCTTATTTAGTATTTAGCTTCCATATAAGGGTACCCTCCAATTTTCGGTATTTTGAGGTTCTTGAGCGCATTTTTCAACTGAATTCGCTAAAATTTGGTACATTGAGTTCTTATTGGGTAGCAAATCTCTTCACTAAAAATTATAAATATGGGTCCATATTTTCTGATAGCCCCCATATAAGTGTACCCCTAATTTTGCGGTATTTTGGGGCGACCGAAGTCGCTGAAATATGGTACATGGGGTTTTTATTGGGTACTAAATTTTCTCACTAAAAATTATGAATATAGGTCCACTTTTTCTGGTAGCCCCCATATAAGCGTACCTCCCAATTTCCAGTTTTTGAAGGGTTTTGACCGGATTTTTTCACCGAATTGGCTGTAATTTAGTAATTTGAGTTCTTATTGGGTAGCAAATCTCTCCACAAAAAATTATAAATATAGGTCAATCTTTTCTAGTAGCCTCCATATAAGGGTACCCCCAAAATGTCGGTATTTTAGGGTTCTTGAGCGCGGTTTTCAACGGAATTCGCTGAAATTTGGTACTTTTGGTTCTTATTGGGTGCCAAATATCTCCACCAAAATATTATAAATATAGGTCCAATTTTTCTGGTAGCCCCCATGTAAGGGTATCCCCAATTTTCGCTATTTGGAGGTTCTTGAGCACGTTTTAAGCCGAATTCGCTGAAATTTGGTATTTTGTAGTCGTATATGGTAACAAATTTCCCTATAAAAAATTAGTAATATGCACCAACTTTTTGGGGTAGTCCCCATATGTTCCGCATTTTGGGTTTGCTTCTAAGACTCTATTGTAATCATATCACCTGCGGAGAATATCGAGATAAAAAAACTAGAACGTAAGGTTCGATAATGTACTATATATGAACTATAAGGTGCGGACCGATATTCCCTATCTTCGAACTTGAACTAAGTTTGGAAGAAATAATATGATGACCAAAGTTTGGATGAAATCAAAATTTTCTGAAACAAATTTGGTCCAAAGAAACATGGAGCTTAGAACCAATATTTCGATGAGGCACATTTTAACCGTGTCAAAGTGTATACACCCTCATTAGCCATAAAGCTGAGCGTATAATTATACATTAAAAATTTCTGAAATTTGTATTATAGTTTACGTTATGGTTTACATAATCGGTTTATAGAAATGTCGATATAGGTCCACTGTTTGGTATTTTCGCTGTATTTTCATTTCAAGTACTTGTCAGTATATCTATGGTGGAGGGTATCCAAAGTTCGGCCCGGCCGATTTGAGGAAAAATACCCATTAAAAATAGCTGAAGTTTGTATTTGGTGTACATAATGGTTTACATAAATCGGTTTGTAGAATTATCGGTATATGTCCACTTTTTGGTATGTTCCCTATATTTTCATTGCATGTATCTGTCAGTATAACTATGGTGGAGGATATCCAAAGTTCGCTTTTTCACTTGTTTATATTAAAATAGTTATGCAATTTGTTCCGCGTTTTGGGTTTGGTTCTAAGAGTATGTTGTAATCATTTCACCTGCGGAGGATATCGAAATAAAAAGCTATAACGTAAGGTTCAATAATGATCTATATATGAACTATAACTCGCATTTGGGCCCTGTGTGGGAGGTACCAGAAGGAGTGGACCGATATTCCCCATCTTCGAACTTGAACTAAGTTTGGAAGAAAGAATAAGATTGGCAATGTTTGGATGAAATCAAAATTTTCTGAAACAAATTTGGTCCAAAGAAACATGGGGGTCTAGAACCAATATTTCCATGAGGCACATTTTCACCTTGTCAAAGTTTATACACCCTCATCAGCCATAATGATCAGGGTATAATTATCAACTACAATTCTGAAATTTGTGTTATGGTTTACAAAATCGTTATGGTTTACAAAAATCAATGAAAAACTGATCGTACCATAGGTTTCTTGATGTTGGTCTTTGATACCCAAGTGTTGCTTTTGCTGCAGTTTGTAGGGAAATTGTTTTTCCATAGTTCTTCTATATTATTATCGGGACAAGGAATGCTTTCGTCAAAGATGTATATTCCATGAAAGTTTGGAAAATATATTACAATGTAGACAGGTTTAAACAAGTCGAATTCTCCGTTCGATATTTACAACGCCAGGAGGAGTGAACCAAATTCTTGCACGATATAGTTTTAGTAAAAATATTAGATTGTGTAGTTTTGATCAAAACGGATAATCCTTTTGCAGGATATTCAAAATTTGCTTCACAGGTAAATTTTGGCCGCCATTTCTAGGGGAGGTATTTTATTCGTTATATTCGATATAAATCTAATCCTGTAATATAGTCCATATTTGAGCTTATTTATATTATTATAATTACTTATATAGAAAGAGGGCTCTAGAGAATAAGTACGAAATGAAATTCAAAATACCTATAATCTTCCATATTTATATCCTGTATATGTTTGTACCAGGCAAAAGGAATCGAGATAGACCCATGGTTCCTTTTGAGAATATGCATAGCGTCCTTGATTCTATCCTATTGAAATTAGAGAAAATCGGTTCAGATTTAGATTCGCCCGATTTTAGGCAAATGGTGCACCAAAGTCCCTGAATTTACATACTGAATTATGTATAGAATGATGTGTGTTAAATTTCGTGAAAATCGGTTCAGATTTAGGTATAGCTCCCATATATATTTTTGACCGATTTTATGTAAAGGGGGCACCAAAGCTCCTATGTTTCCTTCGATTTGCATTAAATTTGGCATAGCGTACTGAGTTGAGTATAGAATTATGTGTGAATGAAAATTTGTTCAGATTTCGATATAGCTCCCACGATTAACATGAATTTTTGCACAATCATAGGTTTGCGAAAGACATGAGTATGTTCCTTCAAGGAAACAGTGACATGCAATTGTAAGGATGCAGATCTACAATATACCCAAAGGTGTGAAGGTTATCATATAGTCGGCTCCGTCCGATTTTACTTCTTTCCTTACTGTTTTTTTTTGTCACCATTTTCTGAATACCGAAAATTGAACTGCACTACGTGTGGATCCTTAATAGCAAGCATATTTAGAAGGAATAGCGACGATTGTTCACACCAGGAACCTAGAAGGCAAAAATACACCACTACACCAGGTTAAGTCAAAGTGGATCTTAAAAATGTTTTGCGATGCAACCCACTAGGTGCCCTAAATTCAAAACGAAAATTGCCCCAAATATTTACCGTACGAAATTTGGAAACAAGATAGTGTGGTATCCCCACCCCAGCAGGATATGATCTCGATGACTAACTTACATGTGTCTTTATGGTACACAAATACTTTTTCCCATTAATTTATGAATTTCTTCAACATTTAATCTATGGAAATTGTAAAATTCACGTCCAGTCCAGTGACATGCAAAAATTTGGGCTTCCAACTACCATTTCCCTTCTATAAGTTCAAGGTTGGCAAATCTGTCACTTAACTATCTCGAAACATATCGACAATAAGAGCAATATTCCGCTTACTTTTTCTTCGAATTTTCCACCGAAATAACTTTGGGATCGACATCAAATTCTAAGAAAATAAACATCTCACTTGCAACGAAAACTAGTCGATGCAATTCATGTTTAAAAGTACAATGTCAAACATTCCGATTCGGCATTAGTTCAATTCTGGACAGGAAATTTTGTAAATCAGTAACGTAAACATTGTTTTGAGGGTAAAAAGGAAAGGGTTGCGCAGTAATGGACAAGAACTAAAAAAAAAACAGAACTAAACGAAAAAAAAAACAATTATCAGCTACTTTGCCGAGGTCAGCATCGACAATAACTTATCAGTGCCGCATAGCTTGAACAACATTATTATCATCTGTTCAGTTTTCTCAATTGATTTCATCATTAACGGTAGCCGCTGCTCTGTCTTCTAATAAATAAAACAAAATCGCTGAGGAGAGATTGGGATTTCCATGGAATCGCATCGGTAGCATCATCGACGACCTAAGCAGAACTGTTTGATACCTTCAAACAAAGGTATAAAAGCTGCGAATTGATTTGATTCGAACAACAGTTATTGACAGTCAGTCAGCGAGCCATTTGGTAAAGTGTTATTGACGAGCGGCCGTTTATTCTCAGATTGTTTACTAAGTTTTATACGCCAGTATGAATAAGATGTTGGTGAGTTTCGCATGGATTTCCTGGAAAGTTGCTGACTGGCACTGCAGGACAACATGAAGATTGATTGACAGACAAAATCATAAAGTAAAAACAAAACAACTTTCACATTTTCTTTCCACTTTCCCTTTGCAGGCGACATTTGTTGCCATGGCAGTCATCAATTGTGCTGTCCATGGTTTGCCGTATGGCGGAGGAAGCAACAAATATGGTGGCTATGGAAGTGGTGGTGGCGGCGGAGGAGGCGGTGGTTTTGGTGGTGGTGGAGGAGGTGGAAGTGGTGGCTTCGGGCCAAGTGGTGGTGTTGGACACAGTGGTGGATTTGGTCCGGGCTCAGGTGATGGACATGGTAGCGGTCTAGGTGGAGGCAAGGGTAGTGGTGGCGGCGGAGGCTTTGGTTCAGGCTCTGGTTCGGGTTTAGGTGGCGGTAGTGGAGGATTTGGTCCGGGCGGAGGACATGGCGGACCTGGTAGTGGTAATGGTCTAGGCGGTGGTCATGGTGGCGGAAGCGGTGGAGGCTTTGGTTCTGGATCTGGTTTAGGTGGTGGCAGTGGAGGAGGTGGCTTTGGACCCGGTGGCGGTAGTGGAGGTTATGGTGGTGGTCTCAGTGGAGGAAGCGGTAGTGGTGGAGGTCGTGGTAGCGGAGGTGGTAGTGGATTTGGATCAGGCACTGGTTTTGGAAGTGGCAGTGATAGTCACAGCAGTTTTGCGAGCAGCAGTGCTGGTTTGGGTGGTGGCCCAGGATCTAGTGGACATGGTAACGGCCTCGGCGGAGGTTCAGGTCTTGGCGGTGGTCATGGTGGCGGCTCTGGTTCCGGCCTGGGTGGCGGTCATGGTCTTGGTGGTGGTCGTGGTGGAGGCTCTGGTTCAGGCCTGGGCGGTGGTTCCGGTCTTGGTGGCGGTCATGGCGGTGGTTCCGGCCTGGGTGGCGGTCATGGTCTTGGTGGAGGTTCTGGTTCTGGTTTTGGAAGTGGTGGCGGTGGTGGTTTCGGTGGTGGCAGTGGAGGCGGCGGTGGTTACGGTGGTGGCGGCGGCGGTGGTTATGGAGGTGGTGGTTACAAAAAACATGGCTACTAATTCCAGCATCTCGCATCAAATAATGAAAACTGTATCGAATACTGTGATTGCTCAATGTAATGTAGTATAACCGATTATATGTTATTTTTTTTATTTTTTTACAAAATATATTTTTAATTTTTCAACATGTTACTTTTTATTCGTTATTAAAAATCAGCAGAAGAAATGACAAATTAAGGTGTTGGTAAACTTGTGAAGAAATTATCAAAATTATAAAGGAAGGGCAAATGGGTCAAATTATGTATGTCCTTTACCACCTATAAATATATCAAAACACGAACATATACTGAAACAAGTAAAACAAGTGGTTAAGTTCGACCCTGGACTCCATCATGTACAATCAAAATTTCTTTATAAAGCCAGAACCTTTATATGTAGTCAATTTCATTGGAAAGTTGTCAGCTGGTAGGTATTCGAATATTAAAGAATGCTCAAGAATGTATGTACTATGTATCGATATAGGTCAATGTTTTGACACCTTCCTACAGATAAAGGCCTATTTTGGACATTTTCCAAACCTGGCCGCATTTTCGAACACAAATTACTGAATTTCGGCTTCTTAAAATATAAGAACTTCCTGACAAAATATAGGCCAATTTTTTGACATTCCCTCGAATAAAATCTCAACCAATTTGTGTTTTGAAGCATTTCGGATTCTCAGAGAAACAAAAATATCCATAAATACAATTGCAATAATTTTGATTAAAATTTGTCCAGATGCAGATATAATAATGGCTTGCAATTACTAAGAGCACTTCCAACATTCACCAAAAATGGTCCAACAAATATTTACTACATAATATATGAACAATCTTATAAAATACTATTATATTGAAATAATTTAAATTGCTTAAAAATGTAAAAATATATATGAGGATAACAAATCAACCGAAATAAATTTTAATTTTTTCTGTGGTGACATAACGTAATCAATATTCAATTACATAACAATATTTGTATGTACTCACGTCACGTATTTCCAAAGGCTGTAAATCGTAATCGACACTTTCAGGTGAAAAACAAATGATGTCGTAATGACAGGTCATATCTGGAATGAAAAAAGAAAAAGTTAAAAAAAAAACAAGGCAAACGAAAAGTTTTTCCCAAAAAACAAAAACGTTTGTAAGCATGTACAAGTGTAACGTTTTTTCGAAAATTTGTTTATGGTAGTCAAGGTATTATTTATATATATAAAATAAAAATAAACACATATATATATACACGTGTAAGACAAGTTGAATGTTTGTTGGTTAGCTGAAAAAAGAAAAATAAAATTGCTGCCACATAAACTGTGATTTTATGAAATTTATTATTTATAAAAAACTAGCTGACTCGGAAAACGTTGACTTGCCTTAGCAATATTTTTGGCATTTTACATTTGTTTTTGAATTTCTATCCCAAACAAAATTTAGCATAGTGTTACGAAATAAGCCTAGAATGATGAGTGTGAAATTTGATAAAATCGGTTCAGATTTAGATACAGAACCCATACATATTTCCGATATAGCTGTCATATATATTTCCTTCTGATTTGATCTAATTGGCATATGTAAAATTTACTTCCCCAGAAACTTCGGGAGATTGGCTTGTCTCAATCGGACTAATATTGGGAGTTTGATCCACAATTTACATAAAATTGGATAAAACTATATATGGGAGCAATATCTAAATATGAACCGATTTTTCCCAATTTCAATAGGGATCGTCCTTGGTCCAAATTAGTGAAATGAGCCAAATTTCATTCAAATCGGATCATAAATGCGGCCTGTACTTTGTTCACAAATATACATGGACGGATGGACAGACGGACATGTATAAATCGACATAATACCTTGAACTACAGTGTGGTGAAGGGTATAAAAATTGGTGTCTAGGGAGGTTTGTGAAAATCGACTATTAGATTTTTTGCAAATAGAGAGCAGGACTTCTATGAGAGAGGCATTATGAAGTTACCTTTAAAATAGCAGAAAATCGGTGTATATTTGGCCCAAATCGGGCATTCCGAAGCATGTTAAATAAATTCCTATAGTTCATATAAAAATAATGGATTTCTTTTTCCCCAACCTAATATTAAATAACTAATACTTTCACCATAGAGCATTGACATTTGTTAGCAATGACTTCTCCCACCCCACGAGGAACTATGTTATACTGACTGTTGTACGCCATAACGCACACCAAATATAAATTTCAGAAATTTTTAATCTGGACTTTTCCTAAAATCTTGAAACCAACCCAAATCGTGGTCCGATGATAATGCATGATAGGTTGCAACATGTGTAGAAAATGGTCAAAGTACTGCAATTTACAGGGAAATGCAATTTTATAAAATACCATAAAAGAAGCTTACCTGGTGGTGGTTTCCATGTTAGTACAGCCGACAAATGCATCCGATTCTCTTTGTCCTCGATGAAATCAGATACTTTAATATCGGTTATGTTGCCGGGTGTATAAGAGCGCCGCAAAGTTTGAAATTGCTGATCCAATGCAATGACGGAATACTTATTTGTCGAGTGAACAACTAGAGCCGATATATTGTAGGTGGTATTTGCCGCTAATTTATTGATGGTGAAAAAGTTTTCATCCGACTAAAAATAAAACAAAATAAAAAATGCAAATAACAGATTATAATTGACTATTAATTTAATTAAGTACGTATCATTTTCTGATGAATGAAAAAAATATAACTAAGTAGATTAGAATTGATAAAACACTCGCGTATTTATTATTAGCTTTTTGTATGTGTTTACCAAATAAACAAATATTTGTTTTGATTTAATTTTTAAACATTTGTAATAACATAAAATTGTTAAATAAATTTAACTGACGTATTTTAATATTTTAGTTTAGTTAGTTTTATAATTAATTTGTAGGTGGTATTGATTGATTTATTTCTATATAGAGGGAATAACAATTTATGCTAAAACTGTTTAAATCAAGCTACTAATACCCCGAAACATTAGCCAATATTGATAAATCAGATAGCCAAAGTGAATCCAAAATACCAAATTACAGCTGATTATTTTGAAAACCCTGTCTGAAACCTCCAAAATACCAATAAAATACCATGATCATTTTGGACCACTATTGATCGTTTACGATAGGAAGATTTGATATCCAATGAGAACCAACTGTAGCAAATTACAGCCAATTCGATTGAAAATCGTGTAAAAAATTTCACAATACCGAATATTTGAGGGTAGCTTTGTATGGGGGCATTACCAAAACCTAGACCGATATATCTCATTTGCAACACCAACCGTCCTATGGCAACATTTTAAAGCTCTATCTCAAATATTGCGATCCCTCTTGTGATTTCAACAGACAGACGGACCCGCATTTACAATTTTATTTTGATCAAGAATATATATGAGGACTCCGGTGAATATTTCGATGTATTGCAGACGGAATGACAACGGAATGTATATTAAAACACTTCACATTATTGTGGAGGATATAAAAATATATAAAAATTCCAATTTGGACGCATACATATTGCATTTTTTTGGATGTTGTCGATATTTTTTTTTTTAATATTTTCACATGAGAAAGTAAACTCTCTCAACATAAGATGCTGAGTTACGGGATGAAATTATCGCATAAACTTATAATTTGTAATAGAAATTTTGAATTGAAATGGATATAAACATATTAAGATCGGCCGGGCAAAATATCTAATTAAAGCAGATGTTTCAGAACATGGAGTATAATTCATATTATTTTTTAGAGAATTTTTCTACTTAACCAGAATCCACAATATGTTTTTATAGTCAATATTGTTACAATACGTGCGAAAAACTCATTAACATATGGAAATCTGGGAGGATCCGCTATATTTGGGAGCTACATTCAAAAGTGGGCCACTATTTATGGGTTTTGGGGAGCAATTCTTTCTACCAAAAACCCAAACCCAAAATCATATGTTAAAAATATTATGTTCTCGGACGAATTAAAGTTTAATATTAAAGGTTCAGACACGAAAAAATGCCACTGAGAAGGTCAAAAAATTAAAGGCTAAAGCCTTAGTATTGCAAGGGGACTTGGAAGCATGGAGGGAGATCGATCTATTTACGAGAATTATGAAGTAATGGATCGGATTGTTTATAATAATATGTTGAAAATGCTTCAGTTTCCTGCAGTGAAGAAAATATACCGCTTGTTTGGGTGTTTTAGATTGACAATATTGATTGTCGCAGTCCAAAATCGGGGTTTCAGACCTATAGAAAATCTTTGTAGTATCTTAGAAATCAAAAGAGATTCAGAAACATAGCATATTCATGGTTTATGGTCATGCTCTCAATTACTAGCAAAAATTTGCTTATTTATAAGAAAAAATCAAAAAGTTGATTTAGTTTTGACCAAGCAAAAATTGAGTCAATATACTTTTCCATAGAAGAATTTTTATTTTGCGTTTATATTTTTTGTTTTTTAGTCAATAAATTAACTATTTACTTCTGAAAAAACTTTTGCTATAAGTTACAGGTCATTTATTCAGTTTACATCTAATTTGAAGTTTTCATCAAAATTCGGACCTACATTGAAGTTGGGATTCATCAATGACATACAATTTCTGATCAACTCCTAAAATTGTTTTTACCTTTTGTTTTGCAAGGGAAGACTATAGTTTCGCATCTCGCCTCTCAACAAAATACAAATGGTATCCCAAATAACCCGCCAACACTACTGAAGTTGTGGACGCAGGTACTGCCAAACATTTTGGTTTATTGCTTTAACTAGAAATATCAGCAACAACGTTATGTGCATTTGTCGCAAAGTGACGACACATAGCAATAGGAAATGCATTGTAGTTGTCTGCAAATGCCTTGTTAAACACGAAGTCAGGCATAAACGAACTTCTCATTGAGGTGTTATCGCTCGTAACATAAATACTTCGATTTGTTACAAGCAGTGTTGCCAATTTAGCACTTTGTCGTTTTTCGATTTCACTTTGACAAATTTAAATTTCTGTATGTTTTACACGCTAAGTTTGATTTTTTCCA